ACAACAGCTCAATCGAGAAATATTAGTTTTATTAATTTAAAGCAATTTATTAACAATACGAAAGTGATTTTGTCATGCATGGTTGAACTTGGTCTTTTTAAATTAATAATGAAATAATGAAATGCATCAATCTTCGTTAATAGCCGAACCTATTGTAGGACATAGGAATGTGATTGCCTAACACGTGCTCGGACGAAGTGGTGACATACAACGCGCCCGAATATCACCAAGAAGTCAGGGGCTCACTTCCCTGTCAGTTATTTATTTATTTATTTTTTTTTATTTGAAGAAACATGTGTATTTTCATGAATTTTCGTGCATATCATTATACCTGTAAAACAACCGCTATATACAGAAGAACTGAAAGCCTTGCCGTTTTGAATTGATACTCGACATGAGGCTCCTATACCACCGCAGATGTCGATTGTGTCGTGGATTTTGTAAGAAATATCAATGTTTGCAACCCAGACTGTCCGAGATTTGGTATCAAAATCAAACCGTAGGAAAAATTTCAGTATTCTAAAAACATTTCAAAGTATGTTTGAAACAAGCTTTTATGTATTAATGTCTTTTTAGTGAGTGACATTTCCGGAATATCGATCTAACCCCGGATGTATCTGTTTTGTTTATTAGACAGCACAACCAATATTTCCACTGTTTGGGCCCATCCCTCCGCTACTTGGTTCACGACGTATCAATTTACCGAATATACCATAAATCAAACTAAAATTGGTCTGGATCAAATTTCCTTTGTAGTTTTATTTTCGAACAAAAGGAAGTCTGGAGACACGCTGTTCTGAAATTATCTAATGTATGACAAATTTGAAATTCATTTGATTATGGATTGTTGCACCTCCCCATCTAGAATTTGTCCTAGACGAAGAAACAGCTGTATGATGTAGCATCACTGACCAGTCCAAGACAACGAAACAGCTGAATGATGTAGCATCACTGACCAGTCTTAGAAAACTGAACAGCTGTATGATGTAGCATCACTGACCAGTCCTAAACAACTAAGCAGCTGTATGATGTAGCATCACTGACCAGTCCTAGACGACGAAACAGCTGTATGATGTAGCGCCACGGACGAGTCCTAGACGACGAAACAGCTGTATGATGTGACATTACTGAAGAGTCCTAGAAGGACAAACAGCTGTATGATGTAGCGCCACGGACGAGTCCTAGACAACGAAACAGCTGTATGATGTGACATTACTGAAGAGTCCTAGAAGGACAAACAGCTGTATGATGTAGCATCACTGAAGAGACTTGACGACGAAACAGCTGTATGATGTAGCATCACTGACGAGTCCTAGAAGGAGGAAACAGCTGTATGATGTAGCGCCACGGACGAGTCCTAGACGACGAAACAGCTGTATGATGTAGCGCCACGGACGAGTCCTAGACGAAGAAACAGCTGTATGATGTAGCATCACTGACGTGTCCTAGAAGGACTAAACAGCTGCATGATGTAGCATCACTGACCAGTTCTAGAAGGACGAAACAGCTGTATGATGTAGAATCACGGACGAGTCCTAGACGATATAACATAAAGAACGACTCTCTGGATCCAGTGAGAGGGGGTCAGACCACAGCACCCTCTAATCTATATGAATTATTTAGTCCCTAAACCCGAGGGTCACACCCTCTTCTATATATAACATAATGAATGACTCCCTGGATCCAGTGGGAGGGGGATCGGACCCCCGCGCCCGCTAATCTATATACATTATTGAGTCCCTAAACCCGGGGTCATATCCCTTAATGTTTACATAACTGAGTCTCTACAGCCAATAGGTACTAGAAAACAAGACTGATTCCTTTTGGTGGGATCCATGATTGACTGGTTCAGCATTGAATGTGGTAAGAAGTGACTTGTTACGGGGCACCCCTCGCAGATCGGGGTCCTGATTAGGGACAGCGGGAACCAAACGATATATTCTGCTGTATTCCACTGAAAAATCACGGGAAGCGACAAAAAGTGGGTCCTGTGTAAGATTGGGGTGTTTCTTTCGTGTCTTCCAACAAGAGGACATTGTGGGGAGAAAACAGATCTCCTGTCCTCATCAGCAATTTGAATCTTTTTTTTTTTTTTTTTTGTAGTTTTCTCTTGACACTCACCCTGATATGGCCTTGACCTTGATTGTTCCGTAAACACAAAGCAAGTCCTTGGAAAGATCTATATAGACTTATGTCTAGTTGTCCATGATCTCCCTGTCTTCTAAAGAGTGAGCGGGGACACAACCTTCATTTGATACAAAACTTGAATCTCCATGACCCAATGATATTTCAGACTAATCAAACTGATTGCTAACCTAACGTCTTGTCCAATCTTCTGCCTTAGATTGTACTAACTACTACTAATTCCACAACGAAAACACTTCAGAAACATCCTTGGCCCAGTTGCTCAAAAGCTGTTTTAATTTAACCAGAGGTAATTAACGAGTCATAATCTGAATTACAAATGAGAACTTCTGAATCACGTTCCCATAATGTATCGGAACGATCCTACTTCACCCCTAGGACTTTGAAAATGGGCCAAGGTCATTCATTTAACAACTTTGTATTCCCTTCCGGCAGGTGAGCAAAACTAGTAACAGTGAAACTTAACTTGTTGGAGATATTTTTAAGTGTGTGGAATTTGGTCAATATACCTTACAGAATAAAGTCACTGGAGTTCTGACAGTGATTTACTAACAAGATGCACAGAGGGATTATATCTCCGTATGAACAACAAATCAGTACCTTGGGTCCTCAGGAACTTGAGTAAAAGAATAAAGTTAGGTCAAGGTCATTTGTATGAAGAAACCAAAATACCTTCCATCCCAGGTACCTACAGATGTATAAGCTTAATATCATAGTCCTATGTTATCTTGAACTTAAGGAGAGTTTTTATGCTATGTGAACCTTGTGTTCTCGAAAATAGGAAAGAAAATTTATATAAAGAAACTTGTATTGTCTTATTACAAATATCTTCTCTCCAAATATCATAAAACCTGTGTCTCCTGCAACAGAAGATTTTTTTTTAAAAAAAACATATTTGACCCATGATAACCTGAAAATAGGTCAAGGTGATTTAAATAAGATAACATTATAACTCTCCACCAGACATATTTGACCCTTGTGACCTTGAAAATAGATTGAAGTCACTCAAATGAGGCTGTACTGCAACCTATGTGCATCCTGGCCAAATCTAAGAAGATAAAAGTTGATGGACAAATAACAGATCCTTCATCAAACTGTAAGTTCATTTGCACTTTGTACCATGTGACCTAAAAATAGAAACTGACCTTGACCTTTACCATACAAACCTGAAACCAAAAATATCCTGATATGTGCAGTTTGATTAAAATCACCTAAGGAATAAGGAATAAAGCTGCTAAAGAGCTTACAAATATTGGCATTACAATATATATATGCTGAGAGGAAAATAAAAATAAACGCAAATAGCAGAAAGTTAATATTGTAAATTAAATCTTTGACGTACACCCTTGAAACTTGACAAATGTGTGCATTTGAGTTAGGTCCCTATGGTACCGTATTAAAATCACTGATGCATAACTAAATTGCGCACGCAGTTTGCACAAAAGAATAAGAGACAAAAGCACGATATCTCGAACCCAGTAGAAAGAATTGGTTCAAAATTTGTGTGTGCGAATCTTCAGACATATACGTCTTGGTTTCCCACATTTTAAGCATAAACAGTTCACCGTAAAAATGCCACGACTGTCCGAAGTTGACAGGGGTCGTGCCATTGCACTTCTTATGCAAGGTACCCCGCAAAATCAGGTCGCTAATCAATTTGGAGTCCATTCATCGAACATTTGCCGTCTTATCCAAATACTACATGCCACGAGAAGGGTTGCAGACCGTCCCCGAAGCAGTCGCCCTCATTTGACAATGCGTCGGCAGGATAGGGCAATGCGACTTTCGCACCAACGCAATCGCTTTCTGACGGCCACGGAAACAGCAAGGAACACAATTGGGCGTCACCATGTTCCAATTGATCCAAAGACAGTGCGTACTCGACTGCGCGCCTTCGTTCTAAGACCACGATGGCCATATGTTGGACCACAGCTTAATGCGCGGCGACGTGCCAGATGAATGCAATGGCTGGAGCACATTCCGTAAGACGCTTCCCAATGCACCGTTGGAGAAGGGTCCTGTTCTTAGACGAGTCCAGGTTTTCGCTTTACAGGGCAGACGGCCGACGTCGTGTCTATAGACGTGCCCACGAGCGCTATGCAGATGCTTGCGTGATAGAGAATGACCGCTTTGGAGGAGGATCGGCCATGGTATGGGGAGGGATTGCGCATGGTATCAAGACTACTCTGCTCGTTATTCAGGGAAATCTCACGGCCGTCCGCTATAGAGATCAAATCCTAGCGCCGCATGTTGTTCCTCTAGTACAGCAGCGTCAACTGACATTTCAGCAGGACAACGCCCGGCCGCATGTACCGAGGGTTTGCCGTGGCGCCCACCTAGACTGGCCCCCATACAGCCCTGACCTCTCCCCAATAGAATATTCATGGGACGAGTTGGACAGAAGGATAAGATTGAATCCTCCAATCAACCTCGCTCAGTTGGCATTGGCGCTGGATGAGGAATGGAATCGTATACCAATGTGGAGGGTTAATACCCCGATCAATTAAATGCACAAAAGAATTCGTGCAGTTACTGCAGCTCGCGGGGGCACACACGATATTGATGGGTCCAGAACGTACTTCATTTTGAGTGGAGTACTCTTGAATCAACGTCAAATTTGAAAGGTTTACTTAACGTACACGAATGAAATTCTCGTAGATGACAGAGTGGTCACATATCTTCCAGTTACACCATAATTACATTCTAAAACCCTTTTCTATTTCCAGTAGTTGACCTGGAAATTCCTAATTGCGTTTCTTTTTCCTCTCAGTAGATGTATATGTAGGACAAAATTCCTACATCCCCACGGCCAGGTTGTCAGACATTGTGCATAAATAAAAAATGGACGACAGTGATCTTTTTAGGAAAACAACATTTATTGATACATAAGCAAACAGTTTATTTTCGTGGATGTAACAAGTGGAAGTTCATGCCAAACAAAGTAATGATACTGTAAATCTATCACAAGTATTAATCAGTTTTGTGCTTCATGAAATATTGTGTTCATTGGGCCATACAGATGACCTCATCTACACCAGGCTTTGACCTTTATCACTACAATTATCTTTCCTAAAATAATCTGTTTCTAACTTTTTCTGAAAGAAATCCTCCAAACCAAGTCACAGTGTTTAAAATTAATTGGTATCAATTATCCAGAGTATATCATATTTGTTATTTGTTAGTTTACTATCAAAGGGTGTGGAAAAAACTCCAGGTCATTTGACCTACTTAACAAAATAATTTATAGTTAACTAAGCTCACACAAACATTTTTTAAGCAAGGCACATGATACTAAATCTGCAAATGTATTTGACCATGAAGGGATATACATAGCATAGCTTCAATAATGATAATACACAATACCCAAAACAAGACAATAGTTTAATAAATAATATTACTTGTTTGTACATTGCACATATCCAATCAAACCTGAAGTGTTTTTATATTATTAGGAACCCTTGTAAAAATTTTGACAATAAACAGGCACTCAAAACTATAAGAGCGAAGCAAGCCCTCCAGTATTAAAATGTGACCTAGATAATTACCCTAAATCTATATAGGTCTGGTTTGTAAAGTATTCTGAATGTAATATCATCACAGAGACACACTCATATCAGATATATATTATACAGTTTCCCACTAAAATCTTGTCAGAGGAAAGAAAGTTATTATCTAACAAACCAGAAGTATTAATTATAAACTCCAGGTAATTCTAAATACAAACTTTAAAATAAATTGAAATTGATTGTAAATAATCAACATTTTATCACTCCCAGAATTATCTCCCTTACTTATTTCATCATCACTGAACGTACTTAAATCTGACTTATTATTACACACTCTGCTTATCTCTGTTTGCCATGGGCTTATTACATTCAAACGATGTAAATTAACTGACAAAATTACATCATAACACCTAAAATGCATGTTACAGACAGCACCAAAATATATCTTCACACAACAATCAGCCTGATCAGTTCAGAAAGTGACCTACTTTTCTAATTAATACAAGATCATTTCACTTTCTACCACATTGAACTAGGCTAGTGTCTACCAATCACAGGACATGGACGGCTATCCTTGTTAAGGGGAGGTAATCAAGTCCTGTGTCACCTTGCTCTCAGTAGAATACAACATATGTATACTAGACATGGTTCATTGAAGTGTCAACGGTACAGATACAAGTATAGCTGAGCATGTGTGATATAGGAAGTTAAGGTCACAGTGCCCTTCTTTTGACAAAATATCGCAGCAACATACTAAATGTATTGTATGTATTGTACAGAGTAATAGAGGACTATCTATTCTGACCTGGCCTCACTGTGTAACTTCTGGCACCAAATCACCTACCATCACACTGGACATTACAATCATTTCAATCAATTTGCTGTAAATGAGACCATTTTTATTAATTGTTTCCACAACAAGTTGAATTCAAATATGACACGATATGTACAATGTAATCAAGCTAGCACCAACATTTACATAGAAGAAATTTTGGAGAAAATTCTGTGGCCGTACAATTACATGTTTATAGTAAATATAACAACAAAATACTCTTGGACATTTTAAATTATTTGTTGTGAAGACATCGCATCATTTTTCATGTTTGTTATAACAAAGAGACTAAATAAAAGAACAAAAAAATTGTATTTAGTTTATATAAGCTACAAATAAAACCATATATATTCTCTAACTTTCCAAACAAACATAACCTTTTGTTAGTAAGTCTAACAAGAACTGGTAAACCAAGGTATTTTGATTCTTGGACAGGTCCATTTTGACAGTCAGCATTTTAGGGGACAGAAATCTATTTTCTGAGGACAGGTAACCTCTTGGGAATACGTATGTAGCTTTTTTAAGGACAGATATCTGTTGTTTCCACCTTAAAGTGTCTAACCTCACAATACTGACAATAAAGCTGGAAATGAAAGTTTTGGCATCAAAATGGCTCTACTGGACTGATGTTTTACGACTCTCATCTGTCAGGAATAGGACTCAATCTAAACAGGGTCTTTACTAAGATGAAATATATCAGAATTATTGAAGGGTCACAAGAAATGTTATTTTTAAAAAAATTTTGCAAATGAATTAGATTTGTTAAACTGAGTTAGAGATTTCTGCTTAATGTTAAGATCTCCAAACAAGGTTTAATATATGTTTGAAAATCCAGTTGTCTCCCTTACATCATTTTTTCCCTCATTAAAATGTAAAACAGAATTGTTTTCAAATATTTATGAAGTTTTCTTTTACATTCTTTGAGTTAAACACTACCAACACGAACTTTTAGTACAAATGTATCTTGATTCTCCTCACAAGCAAATATTTATTATACTTTTATTTGAAAACATTCATCACCATTATTTTTCTTGTGTGGTGTCAAAAATGTTTTTTTTTCACCACAATCCTTCATAATGTTAAAAAGCCTTTGAATTATTTGTACAAAAACTCCTTTTACTCTGAATTGATGAAAATAGTCTGTAAAAAACACCTTTCACTCCGCATTAATGAAAACTGTCTGAAGATTTAGTCACATACTGTTAAATGTACTCCCCTCCACTCACTCAAACGTGTCACATATTTGAGATCCATGGTAATAGACCACCAAAAGATCCTCCAAGAAAAAAAATATCTGCATCTTACAACAACTGACCAAACTACAGAACAACTGACCAAAATACAGATCTAAGCCCATTTCATGTCATGAGTATATAAAATGCATAGCAACCCGATCAATATAAAACATTCTAAATAAAAATTATATCCGAAATCACATTTTCATGAGCAAGATGAAACATAAATAATAAAGTACTTAATGCAAAAAAGTCTTTTTTAAATTTGAAATAAAAAGTATGATTACCTGATAAACTTATTGAAGGTTTCTACTGTAAATCATTAATTTTTTGTGATTTAATTAATTGGTATTGCAGGTACTCTTAATCCATGAATTCATTTACCCACAAAATCATGGGTCCCAGTAATAGTGATTATTTGAAAAACCACGAAAATTAAGCCCTATGAAAATATATGATTTTAACAGTAAGTCAGACTAGATAGAACAAAACACTTAATTTGAAAATAAAGTCTTCAGATATTTCAATCCCGTGAAACGGCAGCGATGGAAACGAAGCTTAATCAACTTTGTACACTGTAAACAAATTTTCTTCTCCTAAACCTTAAGTTTTTAAAACTGAAAAATATTTCTTATTTTGACTTTCACTATGCAATAACCAATGTTTCATTTCTTTATCTTCATCCTCAACAAAACATTCCATAAAGTTTGGCCTGCCATTACGGATCATCATTAATCATCTTCCATAACCACATACTCGAGCTTTGTTGATTCAGATTTACCATCCATAGTTGTGGCATGCATCTCCTCATAATACATGACAACCCTCATCTGTCGTTTGTAGGCATCAGGCACTTTAAACATTCCTCCGTGGCCTGGTACGATATAGTCTGCTATTCTTAAAATGTTAATACGACTTTGTTCCTGAACATCAGGCTTTTCACTGTTGTCCTGCCATAAGCTAGGGTTTTCTAGGTCTTCTTTACACTCAAACAAATCACCTGTAAAAGCAACCATTAAATACAATATGTAGGAACAGAATATATCATAATATGCCATGAAACGTCATTTATGGTATTTTCTAATTATCTAATACAAAGCAGGATTTTTGTTCACCGGCTTGGGATGGGAGCATTTCAACCTCATAAAAAAATTGGCTGATTGGGATGGAAATTCTCAGGATTAAACTTCAAATTTTGGGATATCCGATTAAATACATAGCAAGTTCATTGAGAAAAGGGATACTTTATCAGTCCGAAAAAGTAAAAAAATAGCCCAAGAAATTATTTGCAGCTCTCATTTTCTTTACCTATAACTGCCAAAGTAACAATGAAGATGACAAGACTTTTGACCCCAATGTGTTCTACCTTTTATTGTAACGATTTCAAGTGTGTTTTACCTAACACTTGACAACATTGTGTTCTACCTTTTATTGTGATGATTCTCACTTTGTTTACCTGTTACTGTGACCCCCACGTGTTTTATCTGTTACTGTGACTCCTGCGTGTTTTACCTGTTAATGTGACCCTCACGTGTTTTATCTGTTACTGTGACCCCCGCGTGTTTTACCTGTTACTGTGACCCCTGCGTGTTTTACCTCTTACTGTGACCCCCGCGTGTTTTATCTGTTACTGTGACCCCCGCGTGTTTTACCTGTTACTGTGACCCTGCGTGTTTTACCTGTTACTGTGACCCTCGCGTGTTTTACCTGTTACTGTGACCCCTGTGTGTTTTACCTGTGTGTTTTACCTGTTACTGTGACCCCCGCGTGTTTTACCTGTTACTGTGACCCTCGTGTGTTTTACCTGTGTGTTTTACCTGTTACTGTGACCCCCGCGTGTTTTACCTGTTACTGTGACCCTCGCGTGTTTTACCTGTTACTGTGACCCCCGTGTGTTTTACCTGTGTGTTTTACCTGTTACTGTGACCCCCCGCGTGTTTCACCTGTTACTGTGACCCCCGCATGTTTTACCTGTTACTGTGACCCCTGTGTGTTTTACCTGTTACTGTGACCCCTGTGTGTTTTACCTGTACTGTGACCCCTGTGTGTTTTACCTGTTACTGTGACCCCTGTGTGTTTTACCTGTACTGTGACCCCTGTGTGTTTTACCTGTTACTGTGACCCCTGTATGTTTTACCTGTTACTGCAACAGTTCCGAGTTTGGTGTTGCGTACTATTACCGACACATCAGATCCTGTATGGCCTGCAGTGGGGACAACTTCTACATCATCATCAATTTCATATGGAATTCCCTGTCAATAAACAACAGTTTTACTTCATATAACATTCCCTGTCAATAAACAACACTTTTACTTAATATTACATTCCCTGTCAATAAACAACACTTTTACTTAATATTACATTCCCTGTCAATAAACAACACTTTTACTTAATATAACATTCCCTGTCAATAAACAACACTTTTACTAAATATAACATTCCCTGTCAATAAACAACACTTTTACTTAATATAACATTCCCTGTCAATAAACAACACTTTTACTAAATATAACATTCCCTGTCAAAAAAACCACTTTTACTTAATATAACATTCCCTGTCAATAAACAACACTTTTACTTAATATAACATTCCCTGTCAATAAACAACAGTTTTACTTAATATTACATTCCCTGTCAATAAACAACACTTTTACTTAATGTAACATTCCCTGTCAATAAACAACACTTTTACTTAATATAACCTTCCCTGTCAATAAACAACACTTTTACTTAATATAACATTCCCTGTCAATAAACAACACTTTTACTTAATATAACATTCCCTGTCAATAAACAACACTTTTGGTTAATATAACATTCCCTGTCAATAAACAACACTTTTTCTTAATATAACATTCCCTGTCAATAAACAACACTTTTACTTAATATAACATTCCCTGTCAATAAACAACACTTTTACTTAATATAACATTCCCTGTCAATAAACAACACTTTTACTAAATATAACATTCCCTGTCAAAAAAACACTTTTACTTAATATAACATTCCCTGTCAATAAACAACACTTTTACTTAATATAACCTTCCCTGTCAATAAACAACACTTTTACTTAATATAACATTCCCTGTCAATAAACAACACTTTTACTTAATATAACATTCCCTGTCAATAAACAACACTTTTACTTAATATAACGTTCCCTGTCAATAAACAACAGTTTCACTTAATATAACATTCCCTGTCAATAAACAACACTTTCACTTAATATAACATTCCCTGTCAATATAACATTCCCTGTCAATAAACAACACTTTTGGTTAAAATTACAAAGAATACACCTGTAAATATATATTTATTCTGTATCTTTTGTTATATACATGTACAACAATCTAATATTCTCAAACTGTTAAGTAAACACAACAGCAATAATTCCCTTTGAACTACAGATCATCCTCTCATTTACAGGTTGACATCATTTCTATTCATGGATCATATTTATATGTTCTACATAAACAGATAGCTGAAGTGCTGCCCACAATTTTTCAAAGCCAGGTTCAAGTTTACAAGTGGCTCACAATTTCTCAAAGGTTCTAGTTAACCAGTGGTTCACAATTTCTCAAAGCCAGTTTCAAGTTTACAAGTGGCTCACAATTTCTCAAAGGTTCTAGTTAACCAGTGGTTCACAATTTCTCAAAGCCAGGTTCAAGTTAGCCACTGGATCACAATTTCTCAAAGGTTCTAGTTAACTAGTGGTTCACCATTTCTCAAAGCCTGGTTCAAGTTAACTAAAGGTTCACAATTTCTCAAAGCTAGGTTCAAACTAATCAGTGGTGCACAATTTCTCAAAGCTAGGTTCAAACTAATCAGTGGTGCACAATTTCTCAAAGGTTCTTGTTAACCAGTGGTTCACAATTTCTCAAAGCCAGGTTCAAGTCAGCCACTGGCTCACAATTTCTCAAAGGTTCCAGTTAACTAGTGGTTCACCATTTCTCAAAGCCAGGTTCAAGTTACCCAGTGGTTCACAATTTCTCAAAGCTAGGTTCAAACTAATCAGTGGTTCACAATTTCTCAAAGGTTCTAGTTAACCAGTGGTTCACAATTTCTCAAAGCCAGGTTCAAGTCAGCCACTGGCTCACAATTTCTCAAAGGTTCTAGTTAACTAGTGGTTCACCATTTCTCAAAGCCAGGTTCAAGTTACCCAGTGGTTCACAATTTCTCAAAGCTAGGTTCAAACTAATCAGTGGTTCACAATTTCTCAAAGCTAATTTCAAACTAATCAGTGGTTGACTATTTCTCAAAGATAGGTTCAAGTTCACCAGTGGTTCATCATTTCTCAAAGCTAGGTCAAAATTCACCAGTGGTTCATTATTTCTCAAAGCTAGGTCAAAGTTCACCAGTGGTTCATCATTTCTCAAATTAGGTCAAAGTTCACCAGTGGTTCACCATTTCTCAAAGCTAGGTAAAAGTTCACCAGTGGTTCACCATTTCTCAAAGCTAGGTAAAAGTTCACCAGTGGTTCAACATTTCTCAAAGCTAGGTCAAAGTTCACCAGTGGTTCACAATTTCTAAAAGCTAGGTCAAAGTTTACCAGTGGTTCACAATTTCTCAAAGGTAGATTCTACATAGTTTGATAACCAATGAAAAGAGATGTATTATAATATTTTAAAAAAGAGATGTATTATAATATTTTAAAAAAGAGATGTATTATAATATTTTAAAAAAGAGATGTATTATAATATTTTAAAAAAGAGATGTATTATAATATTTTAAAAAAGAGATGTATTATAATATTTTAAAAAAGAGATGTATTATAATATTTTAAAAAAGAGATGTATTATAACATGTCAGACTAAGACTGATCAACAGATAATCAATAAGATTGCCTCTTTACTGATCTAATCTGTGTTTAAGTAAGTACACACAACACAATATTTAAAAAAAAACAGAAATTACATCACAAAATATAAACTGGACATGACAACAAGAGAAAAGGTTAGTAATTCTATTACTTCTAAATTCAGAGGTTATAAAAACTGAAAATAGTTACTACATACAATCTTGTAACTAAGATTTAATTAGTAAAAGCAAGTGAAATAATTAGTTTTTAGTTTAACTTTGAGTAGCTTGTGTGACTTTGCTTGTAAAAAATATTGTGAATATTGAAAACAAGATCCCAGAGAGATTGTGGCACTCACTACTGTAAGACCTGAATTTTTCCCTTTCCTTTCTCACCTTTCCCCTTACAATGGTCTTCATTACATTTTAATTTGAAAATAGTGCCTGTAACCTTTAATTGCCAAATCTAATTACCATCTTGTTTTGGTGATCAGGTTTTAAAATATAATATTTGCGACTAGGCTTGTAAATAAGTGGAGTCTACAACTTAAATCTGAGAATAAATCCATAAAAAACCTTCCCTGTAACAAGAGGCCCAGAGAATAAAACCATAACAAACCTTCCCTGTAACAAGAGACCCAGAGAATAACACTGTACCAAACGTTCCCTGTAACAAGAGGCCCAGAGAATAACACACCGTACAAACCTTCCCTGTAACAAGAGGCCCAGAGAATAACACACCGTAACAAACCTTCCCTGTAACAAGAGACACAGAGAATAACACACCGTAACAAACCTTCCCTGTAACAAGAGGCCCAGAGAATAACACACCGTAACAAACCTTCCCTGTAACAAGAGGCCCAGAGAATAACACACCATAACAAACCTTCCCTGTAACAAGAGACACAGAGAATAAAACCGTAACAAACCTTCCCTGTAACAAGAGGCCCAGAGAATAACACTGTACCAAACGTTCCCTGTAACAAGAGGCCCAGAGAATAACACATCGTAACAAACCTTCCCTGTAACAAGAGGCCCAGAGAATAACACACCGTAACAAACCTTCCCTGTAACAAGAGGCCCAGAGAATAAAACTAACAAACCTTCCCTGTAACAAGAGGCCCAGAGAATAAAACTAACAAACCTTCCCTGTAACAAGAGGCCCAGAGAATAACACTGTAACAAACCTTCCCTGAGTAAAAAGTGTGACAAACCTTCCCTGTAACAAGAGGCCCAGAGAATAACACACCGTAACAAACCTTCCCTGTAACAAGAGACCCAGAGAATAACACTGTAACAAACCTTCCCTGTAACAAGAGGCCCAGAGAATAACACTGTAACAAACCTTCCCTGTAACAAGAGGCCCAGAGAATAACACTGTAACAAACCTTCCCTGTAACAAGAGACCCAGAGAATAAAACTAACAAACCTTCCCTGTAACAAGAGGCCCAGAGAATAACACTGTAACAAACCTTCCCTGTAACAAGAGACCCAGAGAATAAAACTAACAAACCTTCCCTGTAACAAGAGGCCCAGAGAATAAAACCGTAACAAACCTTCCCTGTAACAAGAGACCCAGAGAATAACACACCGTAACAAACCTTCCCTGTAACAAGAGGCCCAGAGAATAACACTGTAACAAACCTTCCCTGTAACAAGAGGCCCAGAGAATAAAACTAACAAACCTTCCCTGTAACAAGAGGCCCAGAGAATAACACCGTAACAAACCTTCCCTGTAACAAGAGGCCCAGAGAATAACACTGTAACAAACCTTCCCTGTAACAAGAGGCCCAGAGAATAACACTGTAACAAACCTTCCCTGTAACAAGAGGCCCAGAGAATAACACTGTAACAAACCTTCCCTGTAACAAGAGGCCCAGAGAATAAAACCGTAACAAACCTTCCCTGTAACAAGAGGCCCAGAGAATAACACTGTAACAAACCTTCCCTGTAACAAGAGGCCCAGAGAATAAAACTAACAAACCTTCCCTGTAACAAGAGGCCCAGAGAATAAAACTGTACCAAACCTTCCCTGTAACAAGAGACCCAGAGAATAACACTGTAACAAACCTTCCCTGTAACAAGAGGCCCAGAGAATAAAACTGTAACAAACCTTCCCTGTAACAAGAGACCCAGAGAATAACACTGTAACAAACCTTCCCTGTAACAAGAGGCCCAGAGAATAACACTGTAACAAACCTTCCCTGTAACAAGAGGACCAGACAATAAAACTAACAAACCTTCCCTGTAACAAGAGGCCCAGAGAATAACACACCGTAACAAACCTTCCCTGTAACAAGAGGCCCACAGAATAACACTGTAACAAACCTTCCCTGTAACAAGAGACACAGAGAATAAAACCGTAACAAACCTTCCCTGTAACAAGAGGCCCAGAGAATAACACTGTAACAAACCTTCCCTGTAACAAGAGGCCCAGAGAATAACACACCGTAACAAACCTTCCCTGTAACAAGAGGCCCAGAGAATAAAACTAACAAACCTTCCCTGTAACAAGAGGCCCAGAGAATAAAACTGTACCAAACCTTCCCTGTAACAAGAGGCCCAGAGAATAACACACAGTAACAAACCTTCCCTGTAACAAGAGACACAGAGAATAAAACCGTAACAAACCTTCCCTGTAACAAGAGGCCCAGAGAATAACACCGTAACAAACCTTCCCTGTAACAAGAGGCCCAGAGAATAACACTGTAACAAACCTTCCCTGTAACAAGAGGCCCAGAGAATAACACTGTAACAAACCTTCCCTGTAACAAGAGGCACAGAGAATAACACACCGTAACAAACCTTCCCTGTAACAAGAGGCCCAGAGAATAACACACCGTAACAAACCTTCCCTGTAACAAGAGGCCCAGAGAATAACACTGTAACAAACCTTCCCTGTAACAAGAGACCCAGAGAATAAAACCGTAACAAACCTTCCCTGTAACAAGAGGCCCACAGAATAACACTGTAACAAACCTTCCCTGTAACAAGAGGCCCAGAGAATAACACTGTAACAAACCTTCCCTGTAACAAGAGGCACAGAGAATAACACACAGTAACAAACCTTCCCTGTAACAAGAGACACAGAGAATAAAACCGTAACAAACCTTCCCTGTAACAAGAGGCCCAGAGAATAAAACCGTAACAAACCTTCCCTGTAACAAGAGGCCCAGAGAATAACACTGTACCAAACATTCCCTGTAACAAGAGGCCCAGAGAATAACACACCGTAACAAACCTTCCCTGTAACAAGAGGCCCAGAGAATAACACACCGTAACAAACCTTCCCTGTAACAAGAGGCCCAGAGAATAACACACCGTACAAACCTTCCCTGTAACAAGAGACCCAGAGAATAACACACCGTAACAAACCTTCCCTGTAACAAGAGGCCCAGAGAATAACACACCGTAACAAACCTTCCCTGTAACAAGAGGCCCAGAGAATAACACACCGTAACAAACCTTCCCTGTAATAAGAGGACCAGAGAATAACACCGTAACAAACCTTCCCTGTAACAAGAGACCCCACGCCCTTCATCGGTCACTTGAGTCACAATACTTTTTGTAACAATGTCATAGAAATAATTTTGTTAAAAAAGGTTAAGGTAACTTTATCTGTATTTGTACATATAATACAAATGTAAATTGTGTATACTTTAACTGCTGTTCCATGCTCAGGTTTCCAATCAAGTTTGAATTAAAAGAAATTACACTCCAGATTTGAATTTTCCTTTATATAATCTTCCGCCCAAGAAAAGTTGAACATCTTTTTGGTCAATTTCATCCATTTTGTTTTTTGCCCTGCCCAACAGCCCGGTGGGGTCAGCAAGGTCAGTATGTACATCTCATTAAAATGTCATCTTAATCTAATATCTCTAACCAGGCATGAACCATTTCCAATAGAAAATAAAGAAATAATGTTCAATAAGAAGCCCACAGGCCTTAAGCTTCATCTATCAAGATCAATATATATGAAAGAGGTCAAATAGGCCTAAATAAATAGCTCACCAACATTACAGCTTACATAGAGAACATTGGTTTGTACCTATAGACATTCTGTGAACTTGAAATCATATTCTTTATACATGCACTAAACAAATGCTATCACTCTGAACATATTGCTTGTTGAGAAAGCATGCTACAGGTCCAACATCAGCAGCACGGACTTTTTGGTAATTGAGAAGCCATTTAAATATTTCAACACATTTTACTCCTGTGACCTTGAAAGTACCTCAAGGTCATTCACTTTAACAAATTTGGTAGCTTTTCATTCCAACATACAGGGTTAATATCAGCAGCCTGGGATTTTTGGTTATTGAGAAGAAGTCGAAAATGTCAATCATTTACGACAAATGATGCACTGCACATGACGCTGGACAAAAGGCGATCACAGTTTCAAGATGGCTGCAAATAAACCATTTTTAAAACAGTCCCGAAACTGACAATGCAATACAAAGGACCAAAGGTTACTCCTCAGATGTAGCATTAACAAACAGTCTTCACATGTCTATCATATTGTTTTTCTGATCATTTTCAAAAATTAATAGGGCACCACTAGAAACCAATAGAACCTATCTGTGTAATTTGAGAAAGAAGCACCCCAGACTTCTCAAGAAAAAGCCATTACATGAATTGAACAGTGCATCGTCTGATGTTTATAGGGTAAAAGAAAACCCAGATTGTGTAAAACTCCATTAAAATATATTAATCAAGAGAGAAAGACTGAAGAGGTAAAAAGATTGCTATGAAAAACCTACCAGATCAAAGTCATGGTTTATGTACTCGTCACCATGACACACGTCATGTGACAGAATGTGGGTGGCATATAAAAAGAGGTTGAGGTTACCGACATGATCAGAATGGCCGTGGGAGCACACAACATACTCAATCTTGTCTGGGGACGTACCATGCTTCTCTAGACCTGCAACACAGGGGTAATAAATGATACCTGTTATACCCTGTCAATCAGAACTCAATGCTGCACTGAAACACAACATACTCAGTCTGGTATCTGTATCAAGTAAAGGTTAATGTGTCAGTTTTCCTCACTTAAAACTATTTTTTGACATTCTAAGTAAGACTTGAGTTTATATAGCAATATATTTTAGGCATCTTTTCAGTAAAAAGTTTGACTATTGATCATTGAAATTTTGGCATCTTGTAAGTAAATAGTTTGACTAGTGATCATCAAAAAACATGCTATATAAACTTTTTTCATGGAGGAAACCATGTACACTGTGGACAGACAGGGCTCTCGATCTGCCAGATTTGGGGGCCGATATTCGGCCCCATTCCCAATGCAAAATAGTATCTTATTTTTTTAAGGGTCATCTAACTATCAAGACCTATTGAGAAGGTATTGTTAAAAGATTTTGACATATTTGATACCTTGAAAGTATGTCAAGGTCATTTATATCAACAAACTTGGTACCCCTACATCCTAGCATACTACAGGCCTAATATCAACACCCTGAAATTTGGGTTATTGCGAAGAAGTTGTTTACAGATTTTAACATATTTGACCCCTTTCACCTTGAAATTGTATCAAGGTCATACATATTAACAAACTTGGTAGCCTTTCATCCCCTCACGCTACAAGACAAAATCAGCACACTGGGCCATTTGGTTACTGAGAAGAAATTGTTTAAAGGTTTAAACATGTTTCCCTTTATACCATCATGCTACAGACTCAATGTCAGTACCTGGAGACTTCTGTATATTGAGAAGTCATATGAATGGACACTTATGCACGATGGATGGTGCACGACGACGGGCGAAACATGATGGCTATAAATACTTAAAAAATTTTGTGTTTATGTGGATACATAAATAACATTGAAATATTGATTGAAATTCAGTTCACTAATTGTGAAGCACTTATTAAGCACTGCAAAATATTAAATATTTAAGTACATGTTATCTTAAATCACCTGCAGTAGTCAATGTAATTATTTTACAAAAATATTGAATTTAATTGTGCACATGCTTAAGTATTCTTTAATATCATGCATGTTAATCATCGCCGAGGAAATAAGTTACTATCTGTAAGTATCAATTAATGCAGCATCAGGCATTTCTCACATTCATCTTTACATGTACAAGCATTGTATGGATTGGAGTAGCACAATATTTAATCACCAACAAGCTCAACATGTACTGTGGAGTCTCGTTTTACACTTTCTTTCTATGTATTGTGGAGTCTGACTCTAACTTATGTTTCTTTTTACGTGAATATATTTATCACAGCTTGGTCATGTGGAGTTTAGGGTTGTGTTCTAAGTCAATTTGTACTTTCTGCTCTCAAAAGCCATTGAACAATATCACATCAAATTATCAATTAATAGGCTGTTTTTTGTTTGTTTTTTTTGTTAATGCTATAAATTTCATTCAAGATGCCTTGTGTTGAGTAACAATCTAAAATTTGTAATCACTGGATGATGACTTCAATGTTAGAAACAAACAAACAAAGGTTTTAAAACTTCCATCAGTTTTGAAATAGTATCATTTATATTAACGTTTATGACAGACAACAGCTTTTCCTTGAACAGGAGGCAAATTAAATTCATTGTTATTATGGTATGTACAATTTTGTTACATAGTTAATTAATATCAATATGAATTTATATCAGTTGCTATCTTACATTGTTTTGTTGTTGTTATTGTTTGTTTCACAATTAAATGGAGAGAATCTTACCAATGCAATAATAATTTTAAAAATGCAGAATTTGTTGTTTTGAGTATTACATAGTGTCCCTATAACTACTGCAAACATTCTCCAATAAAAAGACAGAGATCCACATTACATGTGACCTTGACCTTTTACCTGGTGAAATGCATGGAGATAATAGTTCTCATGATGATAGATTTTGCCTGCTATGATCTGGATTGCCCCAGTGAATAGGTTCAGATTGCCCACTTTATCAGACAAGGCACTTGTGCCCACAATGAACCGAACTTCAAATGGCAGAATACCATGATCCTCAAGACCTGGTGATAAAATCAATCTTTTCAAATGTGCATCAATAATTTCCATATTTCATCTTTCCTGGCCAAACTTACACTTAACATTCAAACTCATTTAAATACAATACTCCAATAACTCAAGGTTTTCCTACAGGGAACTCTGAGATAACAAGATTCAACTGTATTCATGTTCCACTGAAATATTTTAAAGGTATTGCAATAGAAGTAAGTACAAGATAACAGAAATTCCAAAATTTACTGGATTTTCTGCCACTAATCTTTGTACTTATTACATTTCAGTAAACATTTTCTATTACACTGAATGCAAGAACCTAATAATTTCAGGAGTGACTGCCAAACTATCACTGCTTATTATAAAGTCAGTTACTGTAAAATGTCCAGTTGTATCTTAACTGAATCATACTTCGATTTCTGAAAAAGCCTTTCTGGAAAACTCCAAGAATTAATTAGTAATGATAATAAAGGGTCAACAAGGGATATTTGTTGAACAAAAATAAACAAGAGGCCCTAAGCCTTAAAGGTCATCTGACTATAAAGACTTATATATGAAAGAGGACAAATAGGCCTAAAATAAATTGCTCAACTACTCTACAGTTTATATAGAAGACATTATTGGTTCAAGACATTTTCTGCAAACTTGAAATCATGTTCTTTATACATGCACTACAGTAATGCCATTACTCTGGATGTATTACTTATTGAAACAGCATGCTACAGGCCCAATGTCATGACCCTTGGTCGTTTGGTAATTGAGAAGAAGTTGCTAACGCATTTCAAAACATTTGACCCATGTAACCTTGACAGTAGGTGAAGGTGAACAAACTTGGTTGTCTTTCATCCAATCATGCTGTTGACCCAATATCAGTACCATGGACCTTTTGAGTTATTGAGAATATGTTATTTAAAAGATTTTGACATATTTGACACCTTTGACCCTGAAAGTAGGTCAAGGTCAATAATATAAACAAACTTGGAAGCCCTTCATCCAAACATGCTACAGACCCTATATCAGCACCCTGGGCCTTTTGGTTACTAAGAAAATACTCTTTAAATATCTAAACATATTTGACCCCTGTGACCATGGCAGCATGTCAAAGTAATTTATATCAACAAAATTAGTAGCCCTAACTCCAATCATGACACAGGCCTAACATCAGCACTCTAGGCCTTTTGGTTATTAAGAAGAAGTTGTTTAAAGATTTTAACATATTGACCCATGTGACATTGACCCATGTGACATTGAAAGCAGGTCAAGGTTATATATCTTAAGAAACTTGGTAGCCTTTCATCCCATCACGGAACTGGCCCAAAATCATCATCCTGGGCCTTTTGGTTATTGACAAGAATTCATTTAAATGGAAAGTTTACGGGCATTGGAAGGTGGACGGCGCATGATGTACCGTGTAACGTGTAGAAGAAATCTAATGTCTGTCTCAGACCCTATTATTTCCAAGGATTTATCCAAGTCACCTTTAAGAATCAGGTCTTTATCCCATGGGTTCCCAGTATCAACGATGATGTTCTTTGGACCTTTCAGCAGAGTAATTGTGCCACATGCTTTTTGGTGACCTGTAAAATGAAAACCAATCTAAAATTGTACTTAAAACATGTCATGTGAATTTAACACATCTTTTTCCTTTCCTGTTGAACTTCTGATTTATTTTTAAAACAAAAAACAATTTATTTTAAGGTTGACTACAGAATATGATATACACGTGACAGAATCAATATCACAGATGAATTTTTTCTCATAAATAAAAAGTCAACTGAATATTAATTTTCCAGTACAGGTACTCAGTACCATTTATTAGTTTCTAGAATGGCTTCAGACTTACAACGTCTTAAAAATTGACAATTTAAATCACCTACTTGTGACCATAAGATGTAATACTTCATTCAGAAAAAAAACAGGATCTTACATGTAATAATGAATACATTACAAAGTTTGACCTATGTAATGTTAGTGTATCATGTATAACATGGAAAGGAGACTACAGGTTTATAACAATTCAACATACTTATTTTTCAATTTATAATTGGAACTGCTTGGTAAATAAAATTAGTGTCTGAAAATGACAAAACAAAATGAATTCAAGGACTAAAGTAATGCTGTATATATTTTACTCAACATCCTGTTACCCAATAGTAGTTATATTCATTCCAACTCTTTCAAAGAAAACAAATAAAGATAATTTATGTCTCTCTCCCCTTCGTATTTGCAGAAAGAATCTGACTAATATAAGACAACAAATACAGAGGATCAGACAACATCTGTAAAAAGAATTAAAACTGAATAATGGTTGACATGTTGACATCCTCAGAACAGAGTAACTTTTCAAAATACCGGATCGGAAAAGTTACTCTGTTCTGAGGATGGCAAACCGAGCATGCCGAAACATGTCAACTATTAAACAGTTTTAATTCTCCCTACGGATGTTGTCTGGTCCTCTATATTTGCTGTTTACACATCTTTGAACCGGACTCCTGTATTCCACTAGGAATCCATCCTAAGTAGACTGCTGATATCACTGAATCTACCAGACCGGACGTTGGACTTGTTTTCTTTGTATATTATAAGACAAGCTCACCTGGCCCCTCACTCTGGCTGTAGCCTTCCTTTAGTATGATCACCTCGTACATCGTGACCCAAGGTGTCCTGCACAATGCTAAATGCTGGTGAAGGATTCTCTACATCAAATTAGGTGTTTTCATTGCCAACTGAAAATTATATTTAAACAATTCATTACAGTTGTGACTTTAAAACTGACATCTAAGAGATTCTCAAATTTTTGTTCCACAAAAACTATATATTCGAACAAAGGAAATTTTACATGGTTATTTCTAATTAAAATTGGATAAAAATAATCTTTTCTGACGATACCCTTCTATGATGAAAACGTTGAGTATGTTAGTAGTTTCAAAACTGGAAGGTGATTATCTATTAGACCATATCAGTAAACAGTCATTTATGTGAAAACCGTGTTCTATTTGTTTTAGCCTATGGTTTATCAGTTCAAACCCTTTCAAAAATTACACTTAATAATAATTGATCTGTTAAATGAATAACTTATACACCGTTTTAAATACCATCTCTGGACACTCAGATGAATAACTTATACACAGTTTTAAATACTATCTCTGGACACTCAGCTGTCAATATTACTTTGTCACAATGACCAGTAACGATATTCAGTAGACATGGTATAACACGGGAGGGAATATTTCATGTCTATGTCTGTGTGATCGCTGCTAGCCTCTCGACAACACGATCAAACAAATCTTAAGTTTTGTCAGAGCTTACCTAAAACGTTGCCCCTGCAAGCACTGCAGTCCAACATTTTCAAAATAATTATTTTCGATTCTTTCGCATTCACTAATCATTCTATAAGACACTTTACAAACCTGTCATCAACCAAGATATCATTCACTTGATCTTCACAGACGCTGACAACACACAAGATGAAGATGCTAACAACCGTTTCCCTCTCTTTGGAAGTTCCTCAAGTTTCTGGAAATAACTGGAACAAGAAGCCTAGCGGAAAGAAATTATACTAAGGGAGATCATCCAGATAAGCAAGGCCGCTTAGTAACATAACAACCAAACACGTTCACATTCATCAGCTGAACACAACAGGAGTTTGGGTTTCATTTTTAGGTCACATGAGATACGGTATCAGAGTGAGCTTTTCCACTCCCTTCTGTTCGATGTCGTTTGTCGTGCGCAGTCGTTAAAACGGTTTTGTCTTCTTCTTGAAAATTCTTGAACCGATTACAGTAAAATTTTGCAAAAAACTTTATGGCTTAAGACGCACCAAATTGTGAATTTCATGATCTCCAACCCCGAGGGGCGGGGACAGTCAAATTGATTGAAACTTCAAAAATCTTCTTCTGAAATCTCAGGTATGATAGAATCAAGTATTCTTCATTGATGAAAAGGCTTTCAGATGATTTACCAAAATCGTAAATTGCATGACCCTAGGGTCTCGCAGAGAGGGGGTAAAGTTTACTATTGTTTATATAGGAAAACAATATTTTTTAACATTATTTTCTATTGAAAGTAGTTCAGAGCATGTTAGAATTATTAGTTTTAGATGATAGTTTTACGACTTGCACGTATTGACTATGGCTGACCCCAAGGGGCAGCTGGACGGGGCTAAAAATGGGTCAAATTGACTGAAATTAAAAAAAAATCATCTTCTCAAAATCCTAGGTCTGTACAATCGAGTACTCTTCATTGATAGAGAGGCCTTCAGGTGCTTTACCAAAATTGTAAATTTCATGACTCCAGGGATTGCATTTCGTCATGGGGAGGGGGTAAAATATGCTATAGTTTATATAGGAAAATTTCATTTTTGAACATTGTTTTCTATTAGAAGTAGTTTGGACCAGGTTAGAATTATTAGTTTAAGATAATAGTTTAACGAGATGCACATATTGACTTTGGCTGACCCCTTAGGGCTGGTCGGGGCCAAAAAAGGGTGACATTGACTGAAATTTCAAAGATGTTCTACTGTTCCTAGATGAAAGATTTTATATAGGAAAATTTTAATTTTGAGTGTAATATCTTTTAATTAAAACTTGGTTAGATGTATACACAATTTACATTTGTATTATGTGTACAATATGATTAAAAGTTATGTTGCCTTTTTTAACAAAATCATTCCTATGACATATTACAATAAGCACTGTGACTCGGATGACCGTTAAGGCCCTTGTGCCTCTTGTATTTTTTAGGAAACACTGTCACTGCCATTTATGTAGATCTAAGAGCTTTGAAAATTGTCTTCACACACGATCTGCAAATAGATAACCTCCAGAGATCCTCATAGAGGTGACAATTGACATTTTATACAATAAACCTTTATATAGTGTTAACTGACCTCTACATACAGATAAATGTTGGAAACGTCACACTCTAACCTTCTACTGGTTGTGTTACAAGAGTTTAAGGTGACCGTGTAGTCATCGAAACGTCCCACTCTAACCTTCTACTGGTTGTGTTACAAGAACTATAAGGTGACGTAGTCATGGAAACGTCACACTCAAATCTTCTACTGGCTGTGTTACAAGAACTATAAGGTGACCATGTAGTCATTGAAACGTCCCACTCTAACCTTCTACTGGTTGTGTTATAAGAACTACAAGGTGACCGTGTAGTCATCGAAACATCACACTCTAATCTTCTACTGGTTGTGTTACAAGAACTGTAAGGTGACGGTGTAGTCATCGAAACATCACACTCAAATCTTCTACTGGCTGTGTTACAAGAACTACAAGGTGACCATGTAGTCATTGAAATGCACACTCTAACCTTCTACTGGTTGTGTTACAAGAACTACAAGGTGACCGTGTAGTCATTGAAACGTCACACTCTAACCTTCTACTGGTTGTGTTATAAGAACTACAAGGTGACTGTGTAGTCATCGAAACATCACACTCTAATCTTCTGCTGGTTATATTATAAGAACTATAAGGTGACCGTGTAGTCATCGAAACGTCACACTCTAATCTACTGGTTGTGTTAAAAGAACTATAAGGTGATTGTGTAGTCATCGAAACGTCCCACTCTAATCTTCTATTGGTTGTGTTATAAGATGAAGGTGACCGTGTAGTCATCGAAACGTCACACTCTAATCTTCTACTGGTTGTGGTAAAAGAACTATAAGGTGATTGTGTAGTCATCGAAATGTCACACTCTAATCTTCTACTGGTTGTGTTAAAAGAACTATAAGGTGACCGTGTAGTCATCGAAACGTCCTTCTCTAATCTTCTACTGGTTGTGTTATAAGAACTATAAGGTGACCGTGTAGTCATCGAAACATCACACTCTAATCTTCTACTGGTTGTGTTATAAGAATTTCTATTCTATTGACATTACAAACCTGAAGAAAACGTTCCAAAATGACAGTGGTCGTTCACAGGGCAATAAACTCAGCTATTATTATCCATTATATAGATTATGTTGTTATATGCTCTAGAAATAAAAAGTTTGAAAATGGCCCAGAATCAAATTGTAAAAGGTACAAAGAGGCCCTTACTGAACATGACTTTAAAAGCTTCACCAAGGTCCTTCAAAAGTCTATAAGGCAATGTAGTGATATTCACAAGCAGAACTAAAAAAGAATGATAACAAGGAGCTGCAGAGCATTGTTCCCCACCCAGCTGTTGGACTGAACATCCAAACAAGACTTTTATAATGACATATTTTGACAAAAATTCTGTATCTTTCACTGCTGCTGTGTAAGGTATGAAGAGATTAGTTGAACTATTTATGAGGTACAACCCAGAAAAGCTTGTAACCAATAAATTTAGTATATTTTTCGTCACCGGTACAATCAGCACTATAGCCGTTATGTACAGAGTTGTGTCCAGACCTGTTGAAACGTTTGGAAGGTGTACACTGTAAAAATCTGACCAGTTTACTTTCCCATGGTAACAGAGAAAACGCCAAAATTGGAATTGTGCCAATAACAAAAAATACAAACTAGGATTTTAGCTTTTCATGGGTACAAAGTTTCATCAAGATCACTTAAATGTTTGTAAGTTACAACCCAGAAAATACAGCTAGGGTACTAGCTTTACATGGGTACAAAGTTTCATCAAGATCACTTAAATGTTTGTAAGTTATAACCTAGAAAATACAACTAGGGTACTAGCTTTACATGGGTACAAAGTTTCATCAAGATCAGTTAAATGTTTGTATGTTATAACCCAGAAAATACAACTAGGGTACTAGCTTTACATGGGTACAAAGTTTCATCAAGATCAGTTAAATGTTTGTAAATTATAACCCTGAAATGCTGTTTGGTAGGATGTACTAACAGAGGAACCCAGTTTGACAACCCCCACAGATGTGTTTCATGGAAAATGAAAAATATTGTTTATGAGGCGGACAGAAGGATCCCGGACAAAAGTGATGTGAAAAGCTCATCATCATCAAATGTAATTTATTTGAATGCCTCTGCTAGGATTCAAACCCATGACCTCTGTTCTGCTTGTCTGACTCTCAACCGATCGAGCTAAAGAGAGGTTCTCTCTAGCCGAGTGATATATTGTGGTTAGTATTTACCATGGTAACATACTTGACATCCAGGAAAGAACACGTCCTTGAGTGTTCAGAGGTTAAAGTGATCCTTATAAAAGTATCATTCCCTCCATGTGTGCCAATGTAGCATTCAGTATATATTTCAATGCTTTTGCTTGAATTAAAACCCAGGAACTCTGTGTTACTAATCAGCTGAGCTGATCAAACTAAAGGGAAGTTCTGTCTAGTCAAGCAGTATATTGTGGCTACTATTTACCAGGGTTACAGTTGGTTAAAATACAACAAAACAAAATGTTCAAATTTAATCATTTATCCATCTAAAACATTCAGGATTTGACAGGTAGTTACATAAAGTGATCTACCACTCCAGGAAACATCGGAAAGAACTTCGGGAAGCATGACTGGGAATCAATCTACAAGTAAGACAAAGTCCTATAGTACTTATGTGTGTCCTTACAAGTAAGACAAAGTCCTATAGTACTTATGTGTGTCCTTACAAGTAAGACAAAGTCCTATAGTACTTATGTGTGTCCTTACAAGTAAGACAAAGTCCTATAGTACTTATGTGTGTCCTTACAAGTAAGACAAAGTCATATGTGTGTGTCCTTACAAGTAAGACAAAGTCCTATAGTACTTATGTGTGTCCTTACAAGTAAGACAAAGTCCTATAGTACTTATGTGTGTCCTTACAAGTAAGACAAAGTCCTATGGGACTTATGTGTGTCCTTACAAGTAAGACAAAGTCCTATGGGACTTAGGTGTGTCCTTACAAGTAAGACAAAGTCCTATAGGACTTAGGTGTGTCCTTACAAGTAAGACAAAGTCCTACAGGACTTAGGTGTGTCCTTACAAGTAAGACAAAGTCCTACAGGACTTAGGTGTGTTCTTACAAGTAAGACAAAGTCCTACAGGACTTAGGTGTGTCCTTACAAGTAAGACAAAGTCCTACAGGACTTATGTGTGTCCTTAGATGTACATATCTGTACAGAGTGTAATATACTGTCATCCAATAAAAGTTAATTTGACAAAACATAAAAACCTGCACCAGGAAGACTGTAAACATTCTGTTTTCATTATGATTTTACTATAAACACCAAAATCCAATGTCTACAAAATAAAAAAAAGTAGGGAGAATTTTTTTTATTTTCTGTTAATAACAATCAAGATCATACACCAGTTAAAATTTTCCCACTATATGATTTTAATATAAATTTGTACTTTTTAATTGTATCTATACTAGTACAAAAACTGAAAAAGAATATACTAGACATATGCAGTGCCTGTTTTATACCTACGCAGGTAATAAAGTTTACCTGTACAATATTGTTTACCTGTTGGTATCATATTGTTCACCTGTACAGGTAATATTGTTTACCTGTTGATATAATGTTTACCTGTTGATATAATATTGTTTACCTGTTAATATAATATAGTTTACCTGTACAGGTAATATTGTTTACCTGT